TTAAATTTTTTTTTTTTTTTTTTTTTATGTTTGTTGTAAATTGTAGGCATGGGTGTGATCGTCTGGTGATAGACAATTGATAGGAGGTGAGTTCCGATCATGGGGGGTGGCCGAAATGAAATTTCTTGACGATTTTTAGATTTGAGGACAGTGAATTTTCAGTATTAATTCCGACCACTATGGTAGATGAAATTGGGAGTGGTTGGGTGGTAATTGAAGGGGGAGTTGAAAGGCTGTTGAACCAGTGTCAACGTCCGACGACTTGGATGGCCGGAGGCTGCAGGAATTTGGACGCATTTTTGGATGAAAAAAGGCAAAAAAATAGCCACTTTTTTGGATTGATTTGCATTTTTTAAAAAAAATTAGGAGCAGGTTGCAATTTATTCTTTATTTTTATTTTCTTTTTTGTTTTATCTATATAGGAGGGTGTAATGATCATTTTATGTTAAAAATTGGTAAAAAGGACATTTAGCGCAAAGAAAGTGAAAGATATGGATGTTCTTCGCCAAAAAAAGAAAGGTATTGACGTTTTCCACAAAAAACTTTCAAAGATAGGAACGTTTTGCACCAATTACCATTTTTAAATTTAAATATGAGGGTATATTCATTATTTTACAGTTCTTTATTGAAAATAAATGAAAATGATGGTTTATTTGTCAAATGTGTAATTAAGGGTGAAAATGCCAAAAAATATGATAGGTAGGGACATTTTTCATAATACAGTGAAAGATAAGGATATTATGTATTAATTGTTATTTTAATAATTTATTTGTGATTTATTTGTACTTTTAAAAAAAATTAGGACTGTAATTGCAATTGATTTTTTCCTTTTCCTTTTTGTTTTATTTATAGATGTAAGTATATTTGTCATTTCATAATTTTAATTGAAAAAATAGGTGAAAACGATCTTTTGCGCAATGAATGTGAAAATAAGGGTGAAAATATCAAACAATGAAAGATAAAAACATTTTCTACAATAAGAATGAAAGATGGGAACGTTACGTGTTAATTAACATATTCATTAACTTTTGCAAAATTCACTCTCTACCCTTTCCAACAAAATAAGTTATATAATAGCCTCCAATTGAAAAACGTTCTCATTGAGAACATAAAAACTCAGTTTCAACTCTATTTTTTGGAGGAATGGATTAGTAGTAACTTTTTTAGAAAATGTGTAGTCAAATAGTAAGAAAAATTTGAATTTACATGCACAATTATTTTATTAAGAAAGTACGTCAATGAAAATAAACACGAAAAATATGATGCTCAAACATGGGCTAAAATAGGTTGAGATTTTTGTACCGTAAAATAAATAATTCCTTCGAGTACAGTTGATTTCAAAGGTGGTTGTAACATATACTTCTTCAAATTTTTACAAAAATTCATTTGCATCAAATGCAAGTTTTCAGATGAGTCACAACGATCTCAATTAAAACACAACTTCCTTAGACAACCCTCCAGACCGTAGCAATGCCCTATATCATGCCAAACTCCAATGCACCAAGAATCCGTGTTCTAATACCACTTGTATGGAATTGGAATCGATTTCCTAATCCATCGTTAGCAACCCGACTCCCCTCGAGGAAAGGCAACAATCTTGTGCACGTGGTGAGAATGAAAAAGCATTCAAGTATGAAGCTGCTTAAACTTTCCAATAGGAAGCTCCTGACGCCTATCATCCAAATCTTGAACCATGCCTTCGCATGAAGCCAAAATTCCGGGAGATGTCATGGCACAGCTCCGATATGGGAATCAAAATTTAAGTTAAATTTTGCTAAAATTGATTAATTTTTTTTGTTAAAAAGTTATAGGTCCAATGTAATGTAATGATTAAAATGAATTGTTAGACTTGAAATTTTCAATTAATTTTAATCAAACCAAACAGTAGCTTTGTTGACTTGCACTACTTCTAGGGGATTAGAAGTGAAGTTATGTGGCAAACTTTTACTCAGAAGAATCGTGGAAATCCCTATCATTAACACACCCATGGTCGTCAAAGAACAATCAATCAACTCTAACGATGATCCAATCAAAACCACTAAAATCCAAATCAACCGTTTTAAAATCGCGA